AAATTTTAGTTTGATTTTCTGGGTTTTTTTCCCCATTTATTTTTATTCGTTGGAGGCTAGTTTCTGGCTGTAACGTTAGATTGTATGAGAGCGGTAATGCATGGTCCACTGTTTTACAGGTTATATGTTTCTTTGTCTTCTTTAATTGCATTGGTCTGCCAACCTCAGTACAATGTTACATAATAGGCGTGGGTAACAGATATTAAACTTTCTGCAGAATACATCCAATGGCCAAGGAAATCGTACTGGACTTAGAGCTTGCCTGAAGTCCTACGTTAATATCGTATCTACTGTCTTTACCATCTGGGACACCAATCCCCTGGACAAGGGAATGACTACCCACTCCAGCATTCTTGCCTGGGGAATTCCACGGACAGCCTGGTGGGTTACAGTCCATGGGGTCGCAAAGAGTCGTACACAGCTGAGCAACTCTCACTTTCACTATCTTAGCTTTAAATGTATATAAAATTTACATTCGGTTCCATAAAATGGGTTTATATGGCTTAGCATGAAGACATTTTACTTGTCCTGTAATAAAGTTAATCTTTGTTGAAGATGTTAATGTTTATTCTGTAATTTCAAGCATTCTCTGTAAGCTGCCCAGTTTTGTTCTTTAGACATCTATATTACCCAAGTTTGATAAATAGTAAGCACTTCAGTGTTGAGGACTAGGTCTTTTTTTTCTGGGTTCCCAGCATTAAATACAGTGTCTAACCCCAGTAAATGCTCAATATTTATTGAAAAATATGAATGAATAAACAAAAGTTCAGTTTTGGAGAAATAATGTTGAATGTTACCATTGTGAAGAATTAAAATTTTAATTATTTTTTCTCATAGAAAAAGTATGACTGACAACATTGTGACAGTTATGCATTTGAAAATAATTTTTGGTCTATACAATAAAAACAGAACTTTTTCTTTTTTTCTTTTTTTTTTCCATTTATTTTTATTAGTTGGAGGCTAATTACTTTACAACATTGCAGTGGTTTTTGTCATACATTGAAATGAATTAGCCATTGATTTACATGTATTCCCCATCCCGGTCCCCCCTCCCATGTCCCTCTCCACCCGCTCCCTCTGGGTCTTTCCAGTGCACCAGGCCCGAGCACTTGTCTCATGCATCCAACCTGGGCTGGTGATCTGTTTCACCCTAGATAATATACATGTAAAAACAGAACTTTAAAAAACCTTTTATAGTTATAAGTGTAAAATAGAAAAGATCACATTATAAGTATTCAGCTCAATGAATTTTAAAAAAATATTCATTTATTTAATAACTAACCCTTTACATGTTAACATAGATAACTTTTCATGAAAACTATATTTCTTCCCCCAAAATGTTGCAAGAAGGTGTCATGTGTTATATTTGGGGAAATCTGTTTAATGTCTGGCATGAGAGGACAACTAGAATCTTACATCTACTTCCACATTTCTTTTTTTTTTTTTTAATTAATTAATTTTCTAGGTCCCTGTTGGTTATGTATTTTATTTTTTAAAGCATATTTTAATGTGGACTATTTTTTTAAAGTCTTTATTGAATTTGTCACAATATTGCTTCTGTTTTATGTTCTTGGTTTTTTTCTGTGATGGATGTGGGATCTTAACTCCCAACCGGGGATCAAATCTACACCCCCCGCTTTGGAAGGTGAAGTCCCAACCATTGGACCGCCAGGGAGGTTCCTAATTGTCTGTTCTAAATAGAATGATGTGTATATGTCAGTCCCAAACTCTATCCCTCTGCCCAACTCTTCCTCCCTGGTAAACCAGACGTTTTTTTCTCTTAAGTCCGTGAGTCTGTTTCTGTTTTGTAGATAAATTCATTGGTATCATTTTTTTTTTTTTTAGATTCTACACAGAGGTGATATCATATGATATTTGTCTTTCTCTGTCTGACTTCACTTGGTATGAGAATCTCCAGGTCCACCCACGTTGCTGCAGATGGCATTATTTCATTCTCTATTATGGCTGCAGCTGAGTGATTTTTCACATACTCACCAATTTCACAAAACTAACACCATATCAAAAGCAGAACTCGACCTCCCCTTCTTAAGTCCCTCTGTACTCTCTTCCAGGCATTGCAGCCCTTTTTAAGGGCATACATTAGTTCCACAAAATCCTTTTATACTTGAGCACACTTCAAGACAAGTAACAAACTGACAAGCGAATTTCTTATGACAAATCAAGCTAATGCTGTAATATTCATTGTTAGTAGCCAGCATTATAAAATGAGGAAAATTTGTAAGTACTAATTATTTTCAGTAGTTAAACTAACCAGGAAACAAACTTAATTGTAATGACCATACTCTTATATACTTCTAACACAAAAATGTTGATAATAAAGCATGAAATAATTATTTGACTTTTGCATTAATTAAATAATTAATAATGAGCAGTAAATTCTTTTGAGCTCTTATGTCTAATTGTCAAATTACCCTGATTTTTGTTTGTCTTCCTCTCATTTGTTCAGAATAATAGTTCTCCACAGGGAGAAGATGTCTTTCAGCAGACTCTTGGCAATATCTGGAGATATTTAGGTTGCCATGTTTAGAGGGTACTACTGACTACTATAGGGTAAAGGCATCCGTTACTGCTAAGTTTAAACCACAAAACAGCCCCTTACAAAAAGGAGTTATCTGGCCCAAAATATTAGTAGTGCCAAGATTGAGAGTAATATTTCCTAAGAATGGGAGGGTTGTTTGTGTTTGACACATGTTAATTCAAGCAGGTTATAGCACCATACTAATGGGAGTCTAAAGTATTAGGAATTTAATTTCCCTAAGCATACTGCGTTATTAGGAATTTAATTTCTTTCTGTAGTTTATGCATCCTAGACACTATAACCAGTTGTCTTAAATGTTTCTGCTTCTGATTACAACGAGACGAGGCAGTGTAGAAGAGCTAGTACCACCACTTCTGGAAAAAATGCCTCAAAGCCTGGGGTTTGGTACCTGTTCCAAATCCAGCTCTCCCCACGTGACTGGTTCTCACCAGGTTGGAGTTAGGATGTGTACTTTGACTAGCAGCATTGTTTAATTTTGTTGTTAGGGCCCCGAATTAGTGGTCTACAGACCTGAGGCTGACGGAGTGGTACCTTATGGACCGCCAGTTAATCAAACTCCAGCCACGTTTTTCTGCCTTAAGTGGGGAATCCAGTAGCTCTCCACAAACATCCATTCAAGCCCACACACCCCTGCCCTATTCCTTTCTCCCAGGAATTGTGGAAGGTCAGATACAGTACAGTGCACATAAATGCTGGTTGTAGTGTTGGAAATTAATATCTGATAAAGTTCTTCATGGCTTTTTTTTCAGGGATAGTTTTTTTGTGTATTTCATTGTCCCTTGGGAGATTATTCCATTCTTGACAAGTTGACCTATAGTGAACAGAGAAACCAGATTTGAGCCATGGTCCTCAAACATTTATTGGTGTGCAAGAATTAATGACAACATAAAAGTTCTGACCTTCCTAATAAACTATTCTCTAAAGAAATTACCTCGGAGAATAGTACAACAAATCAAAATTTGTATAGCCGGCACTGTAAGCCTTCAAGTTCTTAAACTTAATGGAGAAGAAAGTGAGCTTAGAATGTGGCCAATTGTTTCTGTTCCATTTAACCATGAAAGCAGATATAAATGAAAACAATTTGAATAAAATAATCTCTGCTTTGTTTCTATTGGAGCATGGGCTTTTATTAGTATTACTTTTAGTCCTCCTAAAAAAGGTAAAACGTTTCATAGATCTCTAGGTCTTTTCCAATTCGTATGGAAATTTAACATATTTAGTGTTTGGGAGGATGCACTTGTCATAGTGGAAAGAGCGTTAAAGAGCATTTCATGTTATAATACATCCTGGTCTATATTCTGCCACTTAGGAAGTATTTGGCCTTGGATCGCTAAACCATTACAGGCCAGCTTTAGCACCTGGAAAGGGGGACAGCGCTTAAACGATGGAGTCACAAGAATTAAATAAGATAACTGTAAAAGAGTGGTCAGCAGGAGGGAAGGATGCACGTTATTTGGAGTCACCGGTGCGTGTGTAAGTGGATGATAGTTGTCAGGAGCATGTGGTTTGAAGTCAGAGAGACAGCGTCGACTCTGGCTCTGTCATGCAGTGCTGGCTGGGCCTGGGGCCAGCTCCTTTCTTCTCTGAGCCTCATTTCTCTGCCTTATCAGTTGGTCCTCTTGGTGTAACTGTCTCCTAACGTACAGTGGGGAGGGACTGGGGTCATCATTGTAAGAACCCACAGGACCAGACACAGGGTCTGCACCTCTGGAAAAAAGATTATTCAGACTTTGGTCAGGTAAAATGTGGTATTTCATCCCTTTCCCCAGATGGTGTATTTGGTTGATGAGAGCCACGTTAAGTCTATGTTAAGTCTTAAAAATAATTTCACAGTTGGTTAAGTTCTAAGACTGCACTACACTGATAATGTTAATTAGTTCATTTAAGAATGCTCAGTTTAAATAATAATTCTACCTAGTATAAATACTAAGAATGCAAATAGCATGTTGGGAACAAAGTTTAAGCACTTTATCCTTTTTTTTCTACAGTGGCTTTATTTTTTTTAGAGCTTCACAAGCTGTAGAGAATGGGTGGGGTGGGGCCAGGGTAGAAGTGGCCCATGTGGGCACTGCAGTACTGAGTTATGACTGGCCTAGGCCAGGGTAGTGGCAAAGGTGGTGGTGAGGATATTAAAAGACTGTACTCAAGGTTTAAATTTTCATAAAATAAATACACCTTTTAGTGTTCTGCCAAGAATATTCCCAAGGAAGATTGGCATCTCTCTCTTTTTTTTAAATAGCAAGTGCATGGAGGAGAAGAACACAGCAGCTCTTACTATAATTTGGTGTCACTGCCTTGATTCTTGCCAAGACACCAGTAGTCTTACCCACTGTGACTTTTGCACCATCAATGCAGATGTCAACGTAGTGAAATTAGACTGAATTTCTACATGTGCTATTTCCAGTAACCAGGCTCCACGCTCTCCCCCTTGGGTTTGCAGATCCTAATTATCTCATGGCTAACGAACGCATGAACCTGATGAACATGGCCAAGCTGAGTATCAAGGGCTTGATCGAATCTGCTCTGAACCTGGGGAGAACTCTGGATTCTGACTACGCACCTCTGCAGCAGTTCTTTGTGGTGATGGAGCACTGCCTGAAACACGGCTTGAAAGGTAGGCCATGGCCTCAAAATGAGAATGTGCATGCACCTGTTTCCTAGAAGTACATGTTCAAGAAGAGAAGCTTTCCTTATAGAGCCAAAGAATAAGAATCTTGAATTCATATTAACCCACTGGGATACGACCTATGTGGGTACAGAAATATGCTTGACTTAAAGACAGTATAAGGCTTAAAAAATACAGATCCTGAAAAGTTAGAGCTGGAAGCACTGTTATAAGTATCTAGTTCAAGATGACAATTGTGTTTCACTGGTGGATACAGGTCTAGAGTGCGGCATGATTTGCTCAAAATCCCACAGCAAGTAGGGGCAAAGCAAGTGCTAGAACTCTGATGTCCTGACTCTTGCTTCCATGCTCTTCCCACTTAACCATAAGCTTTCAAGGGCAGGACCTGGTGTTATTCACCTTTGCTTCTTTTCCTCCCCAATCTTTAATAACCTGCTCCTGAGTTACATATTCTTTTCCACTAGACTGTTTTCTTCAGTAATACCACACAGCTTAAAGCATGATATTACTAAAATATTTTATTATTCATACACAGGTGGGCTCTAAATTCCTCCCGAAAGAGGAAGAACTGAGTCTTGGGAAGTAGGGAATTCTTTATTTTTATGAAATGTTATCAATTCTGAAAGCATGAATAATTTTAAGGCTGTCTGATAATCTGGGATTAATTCCCTGAAAAGCACACAGAATAGCTAGTAGGGTGTGTGTGTATGTGTGTATGTGTATGTGTGTGTATGTGTGTGTGTATGTGTGTGTGTATGTGTGTGTGTGTGTGTGTATGTGTGTGTGTGTGTGTGTGTGTTGAGAGTATGTTTATGTAAAAAATATTAAGCTACTGCTTTGTTTTTATCACCTTAGCTAAGAAAACTTTTCTTGGACAAAATAAATCCTTCTGGGGGCCTCTAGAACTGGTAGAAAAGCTTGTTCCAGAAGCTGCAGAGATAACAGCAAGCGTTAAAGATCTTCCAGGACTTAAGTAAGTTTAAGGTTGAATTCTATGTGTCAGGGAACACATTCTTCTCAACTAGTTCCTTTAGGAGTGAGACTGAAGACAATGATGACCATAATGATGTATTTCATAACAATCCAAAATGCATAATGTTGTTATGAATAGACATTGTTAGGAGGGCCCTGGTAATGTAGAATATTGAGAAGTGTGAGGGATAATTATTATTGATCTAAGAGAGGTTGTCTTCATGTTAAAATACCAAACATCCTCTTATTTTTTTCAAAGCAGTTGCGGGTATCAGCTAATGAGTCTCAAGAAATTAGATCTAGGGAGGTGGCATGTTGGACTTGACTTAACGGAGTTTGAGAACCACGATTAAAACAGTTATCAAGTGAACTGCAGGAACTGACTGATATCCATAACCCACCTTGAAACTTGAAAAAGAGTGGGTGATTACCTTCCTAGATGAGACTGGTCTAATTTTAATCAGGTGGAGGTCTGAATGGCCTGTGTCCTCGTTACTGTTACTTTAGCACTTACGTGATCCACACTAAACTTAGGATTTACCAAAACGAATCTGATGGAACATTTTCAGTTTGGCCTCCCAGAGGTCTTCAAATTGTAGTCTCATTTAGTAATTTATTCCTCGCAAGAGCATTTGTCCCAGCACACCCCTGGCCCCCACCAGCCCTCATAGAACTCCTCACGTAGGAATGTGGTGACAGAGGGGCTGTGTGTCAGGAGCCCCTCATACACATACTGTCCTGGGGGATCTTTAGCAAGAGTAAATGAGCCTGTCCAACCGCGGCCTCCGTCGCTGCTTCATCTAGTTTTTTGGTTTCTCTGTTTTCATAGAACACCTGTAGGCAGAGGAAGAGCCTGGCTTCGTCTGGCACTAATGCAAAAGAAACTCTCAGAATACATGAAAGCTTTGATAAATAAGAAGGAACTTCTCAGGTATGAAGATCTTCTTGTTGAACTTTCTCCTTTCCTCAGTATGTTCTGTATCATATTGGGGTGAATCATATAAATTGATCATTTTTGTGGATCAGAAACTGTTGATTCATGACAGTTTTACATAGTTCAGCTGTTGCCTTCTCCCACATCAAACACACACACATACTTAAGATTAGATGCTTTTCTATTAAGTGTTTTCACACTGTCGCTGTGGCATAGGTATGGTCCTTCGCAGGACAGGTCGAAACTTAACACCTTCAGAAAAACAGACAGGGCTTTAACACCTTCACATATACTCAGGCTCTGTAAGACAGGATGTTAACATGTAACATTAAGTCCAATGCAGCACACAAAATAGTTTCAAGCTGGGTCATAGGTACAGATGGGAAAGAGAAAACAATAAAACTTTTAGAAGACACATAAAGTAGACCACAGTTTCTCAAACCAGACACAAAAAGTTCTATCTATAAAGAAAAAAGAGGATAAATTGATTACCTTAAAATGAAGAACTTCTGTTTATCAAAAGACACTCTTGAGATTAAGAGTGAAAGGCAACTCATTACTCTAAAGGAGATATTTGTGATATGTAATACATATATTCAACAAATGATGCATATTCAGGGTATATAAAGAACTCAGTCCTTCAATCCAAAAAGAAAAAGGCAAATGAGCAAATATAAAAATGGTAAAGGACTTAAACAAGCGTTTCACAAAAGAAGTTGAAATGGCCAGTAAACACATGAGAAGATACCCAACTTGACTAGCCATTTGCACATACGAGTTAAAACAAGCGTGTGATAACCTCACACAACCACCAGAATGGCAGAAGTGAAGAAGATAGATAATGCCAAGTGTTGGAGAAGATGTATAGTAACTCTGCTGGTGAGTTAATTAATATAGAAACTTAAAAAAACTGCCATCCTCTATAAAAGCTGATCATAAGCATTCCTTGTGACCAAGGATCCCACTTCTAGTTATTATATCCAATAAAAAATGCATAGTTATGTTTAACAAAAGACATGAACAGGAACGTTCATATCTATTACAATGTTTGTACCAGCCCCAAATGTTTATAATAGACCCCGAGTGTCTATTCACAGTAGAATGGGGAAGTAAATTATGATGTACTCATACAGTGAAATACCATATAGCAGCTACACACAGCCGTATGGATTAATCTGGTTTTGTTGGAAACCAGACATGGAAAATACTTGGAAAATACTTTGTGTATTAGTCCATTTATATAAGTTCAGAAACATACACAACTTACCTTTCATGATAGAAGTCAGGAAAGAGCTACCATTGGTGGGGTGAGGGTACTAAATCGGGGGGAGAAGAGCATAAGGTGGTTTTGGAGGTTCTGATAATCCTACTATATTTTAATATGGTGGTGGTTACACAGGTGTGTTCTCTTTATGAAAACACAGTCTGCCGTATTATATGATTTGTGTACTTGTCTTTATGTACCTTATAGGACTTCAATATTTACTGAAAGAAATTCAAATATAGCAGATTGCCTCTGAGAAACAGTATAAGAACAAGTAACAGAATTTGAAAACCTGATTGAATATTTCAAGCATCTAGTTTCTACAAGAAGTTGTGCTACAGATCCTAATATGGAGCAGTGTTTTGATGTTGCTGCAGCTGCATATGCTATTGATTGCTGTTTTCTTGCCTAAGAAAATTAAGCAAATCAGGAGAAAGAGAAACGGGAACCATTCAGGAAAGCTTATTTATTTCCACAGAGAGAAGGTTCTTCTTTCCAAGGCTCAAACTTTGATGAGGTGTAGGGTCTAGTGTTCAAGCTATAGGTGGCTACAGGGGAGTAGAAAGAAGTGAGAAAGTGTTAGTCCCTCAATCATGCCCGCCTCTTTGTGACCCCGTGGACTGCAGCCGCCTGGCTCCTCTGACCATGAGATTTTCCAGGCAAGGATGCTGGAATAGGTTGCCATTTCCTTCTCCAGAGGATCTTCCCAACCCAGGTCTCCTGCACTGCAGGCAGATTCTTCACTGACTGAGCTACCAGGGAGGATACAGGGGAGTGTTTTCAATCAAAATTATTTGACTCAAAATTATTGATTCAAACTGAGGTCCAGAGAATTTTATCTTTATCCACAGAGCACCAGAGTTAGAGGGGTTCGTCTTATAAACTAGACAAAACATTTTCAATTACTTTGACTCAGCACTTTCACACCCTGGGTATGTCTTAAGACAAATGCATGTGTATATGTATCAAAAAACCATGTGCAGTGGTGTTCATAAAAGTACTGTAGACTGTACAACCGAAAGAGCAAATAAAATGGATCCACTGTGTTTATTCCTACCATGGAATACTGTCCAGCATTAGAAGCAAATGAACTACCATTGCATACAACAATATGTACGAATCTCACATGTAAAGCACAAGGGAAGCCAGACAAAGGAAAATGTGTACTGTATGGTTTTGGGGAGAGAATAAAGTGTTAAAGAACCTTGTTCATTCCAATTCTTCTCAATTTCCTTCATAGGCTATTAATATGTGTTCAGTTATTGAGAAAGTAATTTGCAGATTATTCATGTGCTGCTTTTGAAGTGTTTTACCATTTGTTAATGTTTTTAATAGAGAATCAAAAACAAAAGAGAAACTCACATCAATGAAATGTATTATTACCAATCATTGAGGTTGACCATGAACAATCAGTCCCAAGTGACTTTGTTGAAAACAAATAGATTGCAGTGATGTTTCAGTTATGATGTCAAATTGGTCAAAATGAATATTTCAAGTCATTTTATGTTTATGTATTGATAATTTGGGTACATCATGAAAGAATATTTAATTATCCAGGGGTCTTCTAGAATTTTTAATCCATTCAGAATCATTCAAGTACTTTATTTCTCTTTTACTTTTTTATTTCAAAGTCATTTTCAGCACATTATGCCTGGCCTGTGGAATTAGTTGTGGGAACAGGCCAAAACTGGCCTAACTGTTGACTAGAGAGAGTTGGCTAAGGAAAAGGGAGTTTTGACTGAACATACTTTTACTATAGTCATACAGTGGAATGGTATAAAACCAGTATAAATGAAACTTCAGAAAATTATCTATTGAAATAGAAAGATACTCACAGTATTGTTAAGCCAAAAAGAAATTCAGGATACTTTAATCGTATAATGCCCGTTTAGTATCCCTCAAAAATAAGTGTATGTCTCCATAAATGATCTGAAACGTTATATATCAAGGTCTTAACAGGTCATTGGTGGGTAGAATTACAGGGTTTCTTGTATACCTCTTTTTTTGTGCTGCCTTTTTTTTTTTGGTAATGAAAACTGATTTTTATTAAATAAGAGATAACAAGCATTTTAAATCATCCTCAACCTGTTATGCATGCTTGTTAGGCAACTTCTGCTAATTAGCCAAAGGCGAAAGAATGTAACTAGTTTGACAGTTCACATTTGTTAAATGTTTATTCACTATGTTAAAGGAATGTGGTACTTAAATCGAATTTAAAATAAAGCAGATCGAGGCGGAAGGGATAATTAGGAGCTTGGGATTGACGTATACACACCATTACATATAAATAGATAACATGGACCTGATGTATAGCACAGGGAACTCTACTCAATACTCTAATCACCTATATGGGAAAAGAATCTGAAAAAGAATGGATATATGTATGTGTGTGTGTGTTAGTCACTTAGTTGTGTCCGACTCAGCGACCCCATAGACTGTAGCCCGCCAGGCTCCTTTGTCCGTGGGATTGTCCAGGCAAGAATACTGGAGTGGGTTGCCATTTCTGTATTACTAAATCACTTTGTTGTATATCTGAATAACATGATATTGTAAATCAACTATACTTCAATATAAAATAAAAATTAAAATATGTATATTTAATAAAAACTAAAGCAGATCAAATAAAAAGGCAGTTTTTAAAAACAAACTTAACAGGTTTTTTTAGATGCATGAAAGATTGAAAAATTATCCCCTGGAGCATTGCAGATATAAGTCTGTGGGAAAAGCATGAATACACACTTCAGTGAAAACACTGTTCTGATCACTTTTCTTTCAGCTGGACAGTCTGTTTTCTAGAGTCTGTTCATGTAACTGTTATCTAAAATAAAGTATCCAAGTAATATCATAGGTGACCATATTTAACCACAAGACAAATGCTTTACTCCTTGTCTCATGATTACATCACTGGATTCTTGAGGTTTTATTACATAGAGCATTCCATGGATTTCTCTTGCAGTGAATTCTATGAACCCAATGCCCTCATGATGGAAGAAGAAGGAGCTATAATTGCTGGTCTGTTGGTGGGCCTGAATGTCATTGATGCCAATTTCTGTATGAAGGGAGAAGATTTGGACTCTCAGGTATGAGAGAGATACTCGGTGGCCTAGGGTGTCACTCTGAGTTATCTCAGAATTTGGATTGATCAGATTATACCAACCAAATTAGCGGAAATTCTGAGTCATAAATAGAGTTTTCTTTACTTTTGATGTGAATATAAAAAATTATATATAACGAGTATTTTTCAAATTCTAGTCTTAACAGTGATTGCCATTAAAAATATTTTGCACAGGTTAAAACATATATATATATATAGCTATGTGGTTCAGTGGCAAACATACACACACACACTTATAGACCAAAATATATACACAGGAATTTAATAGTAGAATATTTGAAAAAAGCAAAAGAAAAAAAATGTTAAACCATAATGAATTTATTTATTTAACATCCAATAAAACTTAAATTTGGGCTTCCCAGGTGGCTTAGTGGTAAAGAACCTGCTTGCCAAGCAGGAGACTCAGGTTCGATTCCTGGGTCAGGAACTGTTAACTGTAACTGGTGGGTTACAGCTCATGGGGTCACAAAAGAGCCGGACAGCGCTTAGTGACTAGCCCACCAGGCTCCTCCATCCATGGGATTCTCCAGGCGAGAATGCTCGAGTGGGCTGCCATTTCCTTTTCCAGGGGATCTTCCCGACCCAGGGATCGAACCCAGGTCTCCTGCGTTGCCAGCTGACTCTTTACTGACTGAGCTACCAGGGAAGTGAGCAAAACCTTAAAGTGTTCTGTCGACCTGCTTAGTCACATGCTACTGACTTAATCTTGAGCTTTATAATGCTTGTCATTTCTTGATTATCAAAAGCATTACGTTTTTTATTAAAATTTCCTAGTAATTGTCATGACTGTAATACTGTCTTTCAGTGTCTAGAAACAGACACTGTGTTTGTTATTGTCATTCAGTTGCTAAGTCATGTCTGACTCTTTGCAACCCCATAGACTACAGTATGCCAGGCTCCCAGGTCTTTCACTATCTCCCAGAGTTTGCACAAATTCATGTGTTATGGTTTGGTAAAAGTACCTAATTTTATATTATATTAAATTCTGAAAATTCTCTCTGTAGGTTGGAGTTATAGATTTTTCGATGTATCTCAAGGATGGGAACAGCAGTAAAGGTAGTGAAGGGTACGTGCAAAGAAAATTTGTTTTCTTTTTTTCTTCGATATTGTTTGATAGTATTTAAAGTCTGCAACAGTACTGCTTTAACAGATTTGCTGAATTTCTTTCTGATGATATATCTCTAATAAGTCTTGTAAAAAAATGTCTGTTGTGTCTGCTAAACCCTAAAAGGGGTTCAGTGGGTTTTCCTGGTATGTGGTTGAGGGGAAAATAAAATAAAAAGTTTTATAAAGGGAATCTAATGCTCCATCTCTCAATAGTGTTTGAAAACATGGTCTTCTTGACCAGAAGAACTGCATCCTCAGTTTGCTTAAAATTTGCCCTCTGACATGAACATTATGGGATTATGTAAAATGTCAACGTTATGGGGAGCAGAGTATATGGGAACTCAGCACTACTTTTACAACTTCTATAAGTCTAAAATTATTTTAAAATTGAAAGCTTTTAAAATATTCATATGGTACCTTGCAAATTAGTAATCACAAGCTTACCCTTTAACCCGTTATAAATGTGGCAGGTGAAAGCATAATTAGCCTGAAGTGTTTAACCTTAGGCATTGAACTAGGTTATATTGCTTGTCCTTTAAGTAGTCCTAGAGGTGTGTGGCCTTGAAGTTTTCTTTCAGTCGAAAAGTCTGTCTGTTTAACTTTTGTCTGTTCTAGATTAGCTGTTCCCAAAAGTGAACCTCCTTTTTCCACCCTTAATTTTCTCATGTAATAGTAAACATTTGATCTTTGTGAAAGCCCTTTAAACCATTCATTGTGAAACCAAATAGCATATAAAGGCAAATATATTACCTTTGAGAACAATTATTATTTCATCCAAATAAGCTTAATTCAATTCCTGTGACAAGTGGAAAATTGTTCTTATAAATAATACTAGCAAAGCAGAAAAAAAAATCTTTGAATTGCAAGAAGATAATTTTTTTTCTTTAAATGCCTCTAACAGATTATACATTATACCTGTAACCTAAGTTATTAAGTTGTGTAAGCCCTCAGAAGGGCTTTATGAATATGCTGGGAAGGTCTTCACAGTTGGGTCTCTTGTGTCGAGGAAGTTCTAATTGGGTCTGTCTCCTGGTTCGGTGTGTCTGAGCCATAATTTCCTTCCTCTGTTTTATGAAAATATTGGAGGTGGGGCATCTTGGCACTTCTAATGTTATTTACTTTTTCTCTATTTTTTATCTTTTTTCCCTTCAGAGATGGCCAGATTACTGCAATTCTGGATCAGAAGAACTATGTAGAAGAACTCAACAGACACCTGAAGTAAAGAATAATACTATTACTTTCTGGGGATTTTGGTGTGGGGGAAGGGAAGGATAAACTGATGATGAGCAGTTAGGATAAATTCAGACAATACTCAACAAATATATATATAGGATCACTGCTAGCACAGCTCTGAGCCTAGGCACTGGATATGTGGCATTTACCTGTTTTGGTGGGTTTTAATGAAAGGCAATATAAAATTAGTATTAATTAGAGCTTTAGTAATTATGTAAACATACTCAGTGAAGAACTCTTAAATTTGTGCCATAGACACTTGAAATTGGAGGTCTTGGTTCAGTATATCCAGTCATTTATTTCAGTACTATGTCTTGGGTGAAGCACTCACCGCTGTAGTACCTTTAGATTAATGATATCTCATTGGTCCCTTACATTTTTCATATAGCAGATCAATAGTATTAATTTACCCTCTTTTCACCATCACTACCATTAATTTACCAAGTACTCGCCAAGTATTTTTCATGACCAGAACATAAAATCATCTCTCCTCTCCTGAGGAGAGCTGTCCAGAATTTATTGGTATTCTCAAGTACATTGACAGTCTAAAAACTGTTGAATAATTCAGAAGAATTAATATGTCCCATTTAATTATCTTATTTATAGTTCTCTTATGAAAGGTAATCATTTTAATTTAAGTAAGACCTAAAATGTGATTACACCAGTATCAGTATAAATTATAGTCTTGGTTCCATCTAGAAAGCTCAAAAACAATTTACGTACATTTCTTCTGGGGACCAGGTACTAATAATGAACTAACAGTGAACTGTGGAGATGTTAGCTTAGCAAAGATACTGTTACAGTTGACAATGAATGTACTGTGCTCTGCTTAGTGATTCAGTCGTGTCCAACTCTTTGTGACCTCATGGACTGTAGCCCACCAGGCTCCTCTGTCCATGGCAGTTCTCCAGGCAAGAATACTGGAGTGGGTTGCCATGCCTTCCTCCAGGGGATCTTCCCAACCCAGGGATCGAACCCAGTTCTCCAGCAATGCAGGTGGATTCCTTACCATCTGAACCACCAGGGAAGCCCAAGAATACTGGAGTGGGTGGCCTATCCCTTCTCTCTTCCCCACCTAGGAATCAAACCAGGGTCTCCTTCAGTGCAGGCAGATTCTTTACCAGCTGAGCTACCAAGGAAGCCCCTGAATTATAAATATGACAGTATTATTTATTCTTTCAGTGCTTCTGTTTGTCTGTAGTTGGAGGTGCCTAGCACATGGGGTTGTTGCAAGGAGTAAATGAAATAGTGCAAGTAAAAGCATTTAGAAGAGTGTTTGGTGTGTGTCAAGCACATCATAATTCATGTAGCCTTATATTATTGTTAAATAAGTAAACCCTGAAGTACAGTGTAGTGCTGAACTTTTTTAATTTCTTCAACAAATGTTTGTTAAGGAATTTCCCTGGCCGTCCAGAGGTTAAGACTCTGTGTTTCCATTGCAGGGGTTGAGGGTTCAATCCCTGGTTGGTGAACTGAGATCCCATGCCCCATGACCCCCACAAAAAGCCTTTGGGTGTGTTCATTTTGATCTTGGGGATGAGGCTAATTATAGACTGAGAATAAGCCCTAACTGACTCACTCACAGAGAAGTACCGTCTCAGGGGCCAAGTACTTTGGCTGGATGGTTAATAGGAACAAGATCTGAATAAACAGTACTTTTCTTCCAAGGTGGGTGGGGGGGGACGACACAAGCTTTAGTCCCAAGAATGTAGCACTACATTCTTACCTACATTCTTACTAGAATGTAAGGTAAGACACCCATCACGTTGTAAGCTGTCTTAGAGCCTATAAGCCTACTGAGAATTGTAGACAGTAAACAACGAATGATAAGTATGATGGGTGTTTTAAACGAAAGTATAGGATATTGTTCTGCATCTCAAAAGAGACTGTTCATTTTTTTCTTCTCTTCATAGTGCTACTGTAAACAACCTTCAGGCAAAAGTGGATGCATTAGAAAAATCCAACACTAAACTGACAGAGGAGGTAAGTGTTCTAGAAATTGTTCGATTGACTTAATACAATTTAGTAAAATGCATTAGCGGAAATAGTTTCTCTGGAGTCTCAGAAATATAGGACTTGATTTTTCAGATAATATCTACCCTAAGACTCCTTGTTCTGGCCAAGAGTGGCCAGCTGGCTTATCTCAGGTATCTCAGTTATCCAGTTGGACTATGTAGGGTAGAACCTGGGTTGATCATATATTTTGCTTTCTTGTGTGAATGTTTTGTCTGGTCTAGCCTAGAGTTAATGTTTAGTAAGATAATGTGTTCATCATTTATTTATTCATTGAACATTTTGGGTACTATGTATGTGCCAGAGCTAGACAGACTCACATCTGCCAGGCATTTATTTATGTGTGCTGGATTGGCAAGTTCCCCCTTCGCAGGTTTTATTTTCTCCTTGGGGCGATAGGGTGATGAGGTGGATAACATAAAGAACACTGGTCAGAAGACCAGTAATTCCTGCTTACATGTCATGCTTTAACATGTCATGTGCTCCTGAGCAAGTAAGTCACTTGACCTTCAAGGGACCCAGTTCCTTCTCTGGCAAAGTAAAGTGTTTCCCCTTTTAGCCTCACAATTACCCTGAAGATCAGATAAGAATATGCACGTGAAAACTTTTAGAAAAGTCCCTAAAATAAGAATTAAAATATAATATCATAGTTTACTTCTGATTAATATTTTTTTCCCTAGCTTACCAACAATATATTTTTTTTTCTTAAATAGCATTAGATGTTTCTATGAGAAACCTTAAATAAAATTTTTCAGATGACAAAGACTTTATCTTCTCTTTTTCGAATTCTAACTATCCTATAGTGAAATAAAGTTGGTTAAAAACAACAACATAGATGGACCTGGAGGCTATTATGCTTAGTAAAATAAGTATGAGAAAGACAAATACTGTATGTTATCTAAATGTGGAATGTAGAATCTAAAACTTGAATCAAAAAAATGAATGTAAAACAAAACAGACTCAGAGATAATAGAGAACTTGCTAGTGGTAAACAGTGGGGAGAGGGTAAGATAGGGGTGGAAAATTAAGAGGTACAACTATTATGTATACAATAAATAAACTACAAGGATATATTATATAGTAAAGGGAATATGGCTTCCCCCGTGGCTCAGTTGGTAAAGAATCTGCCTGCAACGCAGGAGACCCAGTTTTGATTCGTGGGTCAGGAAGATCCCCTGGAGAAGGAAATGGCAATCCACTGCAGTACTCTTACCTGGAGGATTCTATGGACAGAAAACCCAGGACAGTTGCAGTCCATGGTATCACAAAGAGTTGGACACAACTGTGTGACTAACTTTCACTTTCAGAGGGAATATAGCCAATATTTTATCATTTTAAGTTTATAATATATAAAAGTATATAATCTATTGTATATACAAAAATATAACCTATAAAAATATTGAATCACCATGTTATTCCCCTGAAACCAATATAATGCTGTAAATCAGCTATACTTCAAAAAAGAATTTGGTCTTAAAAAAGCAAGTTAGGGACTTCCCTAATGGTTCAGTGGTCAAGACTCCCGAGTTTCCACCGCAGGATGTGTGGGTCCAATCCGTGGTTGGGAAACTAAGATTCCACATGCTGTGCGGCATGGCCAATAAATAAATAACTAAAGTAAAAATAGAAAAGTAAGTTAAAGCACTAGTTAAGACATGCTATCTAATCAGATTTTTTTTGAGAACTAACATTTTCACTGTTATGACTTTAAAACACCTCCCTATTGCTCAGTTCTGTGGACCTTATGTTTAGACATAGATTCTTAAATTATATTAAAACTTTGGTTTAATGGATACGATCCTTAGAATTTTATCCCACAAGGCTTTCGAAACATTCTGCACAGAAATTTTCTACTGTGATTCTACTGCTGGTATATTGGGGCGATGTGGCATAGCAGCTAAGCGTGCTCTCCACAGCGAGGCTGTCTGGGTTCTTGTCCCTGATCTGGTGCTTGGTAGCTCTCTGATCTGGGGCCTGTTACTTAAGCTTCTGTTTTCTTTGGTTTACTTATGTGCAAAATGGGGCCAAGAATGATAATAAAGTTTTTGTGTGCATTAAATGATGATAATACATAAAGGCCTAGATAGTAGGCTTCCCTGGTGCCTCAGATGGTAAAGAACCTGCCTGCAACGCAGGAAGACCTAGGGTTCGATCCCTGGGTCAGGAAGGTCCCCTGGAGAAGAAGGGAATGGCCACCTGCTCCAGTACTCTTGGAGTTTACCTGGTGGCTTAGAGAAGCCTGATGGACTCAGTCCATGGGGTTGCAAAGTCGGACATGACTGAGACTAGATCAGTGCCTGACACATCCATCATATGCACCCAGCAAATAAAATCGTTAATTTTATTTCCTAAGTCATGGGACTTGTCTTCTTGGCCTAAATTAATTTTACCAGCAATATTAATCATGGGCAAGCACTGTGTGTAGACTTTATAAATAACAAATAAGGCTAAGAAGGTCTTCCCTCTCTCATTTCCATCTATTTTGGATTTAAAGGGACCAGTTTAAAAAAAAAAAAAAAAGCTAAACCTAGAAAGATCTCTTTTCCCTCCTGAAATCTGAACCAGTAGGACAAAGGTGGCACTAGTGGTAAAGAACCTGCCTGCTAATGCAGGAGACATAAGAGACACGGTTCATTCCCTGGGCTGGGAAGATCCCCTGGAGGAGGAAATGGCTACCCACGCCAGTATTCTTACCTTGACAATCCCACGGACAGAGGAGCCTGGCAGTTTACAGTCCATGATGTCGCAAAGAGTCGAACACGACTGAAGCGACTTAGCACGAAGGACAAAGTGAAAAGAACTGAGCAGATGAGGATGAGTAAATATCCACTTTGTGTTGGCAAAGCTGACTTAGAAAGTCCACTTGGATCTGCAGTCGTCATTCCTAATGTTTCTTTGACGATGAGACCTTGGAAGAAGTCATCTGAGGTGCTCTTGGATCAAGAGAGGCAACATGCTTACCCAGAGTGACTTCTTTACACATTTTGGGCCCATGGAGCAGAGAGAGAAATGGACTGTCAGACCCGCCTCTAGAAAGCTCACCAGAGCCTGGCGGCTGCGCTTACTCAATAGGACAGGAGCCAAGCAGAGATGACAGAAAGGGAGGCCAGCAGGGCTGAGAGGAGCTGCTCAGTTCCTTCCCCAGCCTCCTTCAGGCCCCTCGCCATTCTCTCAGGAACTAATCTCCACACATACAGAGAAGCGAGTGTTTCCACCGCATTCCTCCCTCCCTTGGGACAGGGTTATAAACATGTCCCCTAGAGACACACTGCCCATAACATCACCTTGTCTTTAGGCACTGAAAAGAAACAGAAAAATGTCTTCGGTGTTTAATGGCATCTTTTTGAGTGAGAACTTTGGTCTTTTTGTCTTTTTTTGTTGTTTTTTCTTTTAAAAAATTTTTGTCCATGCCACAGGGCATTTGGGCTCTTAGTTCCCTGACCAGGGATCAAACCCGCCCGCCCCTGCATTGAAAGGGAACAGAGCCTTCACACCACTGGACCACCAGGAAAGTCCCTAAAACAGGTCTTGGATGGTGTGTAAGATGGGTCCCAAAGCATGAGGTGCCCTCGCAAACATTTTAGAAATAGGTTTCACAGCTAAATATAATTATGAGTTATCCATGGGGACACCCTTGAGGTAAATGATCATAACTTAACATTTTGTTACTGGAAAAAAAAAGTTTTTACACAAAAAGCAGTGATAGGAGATATTTGTCTTTCAAGATAGCTCTCCTAAGTTTTTGTGGGGTTATAGATAGTTTTCTTTCCTTCTAGAATACCTAAGCCTGAAAGTCATGTCCTTGCAGATCATGAATGGTCTTATTCTGTGTTTAATAAAAGAAAGATTATTTTCAAAATTTTATCAACAGCTTGCAGTTGCAAACAACAGAATTATCACCTTGCAAGAAGAAATGGAACGAGTTAAAGAGGAGAGCTCCTACATATTGGACTCTAATCGGAAGGTGAGAGCCTGTTAGTGTGTTAACAGTGGGGGCGGGGGTGAGTGGGGTGGTACCCTCCAGAGGGCTGCTTGGAAGCAGCGAGCATCTGCATATGTTAAGTGTTCCCAGAATACTTAATGATGAAGGTTATGGGAGGTTGATGCCCTCCTTCTGTTGACGCTCCTTGGCTTCACCATCATGTATAGCTGTTTAGAGACTTCAAGAAACAGTCTAATTCGATGTTTTTTTTTATATACATTATATACATTTTTATATAATGATTTGTACTATTTTTAGAAATAACAGTACTGTTTTATTGGAAGTATATCTCTGATATCACTGGGAAAGAGTTCCCATATAAATGAATTTTCTAGATAACTCAGTCCCTTTTATATATGTCTCAACATATTTTGCAAACCTTTTGTGTATTGCACAGTTCTAAGCCTTCTTAAGTAGAGAATATAATTTACTCCTTGTAGCCCTTTATGGTGACTGAAGATCATAGTTATCAACATTGGTGATTCTGTACTATGTTATAATGGTGCTGCTTAAGGGGGCTATTGAAACTGATAGAGCTTCTAGAACTTATACTTAAAATAGTCCCAGATTCCTTTTTTTTTTTTTTTTTTTTGCCTTTTATTTCACTGGCATCTTTTACTTCTTACTGCTGTTAGAATTACTCTTTCTGGAAATGTCTCCCTACTCCTTAGCCTCATGTTTCTAACCTACTGTGACCTAGGAATGCAGAAATCCAGTTTTTTAAGTTGTTCTTGAAGAGTAAGTACCTAGGCTCTGAGTGGGGACCAACATGAATAAAAAGAAAATGAAGTTGCTCAGTCATGTCCAACTCTTTGCGATCCCATGGACTGTAGCCTGCCAGGCTCCTCTGTCCATGGGATTTTCCAGGCAAGAGTACTGGAGTGGGTTGCAGTTCCCTTCTCCAGAGGATCTTCCTGACCCAGGGATTAACCTGGGTCTACCTGCATTATAGGCAGATGCTTTACCGTCTGAGCCACCAGGGAAAGTTTGACTTTAATGCATGGATTTTGTAAAACAAAACAAAACAACTGTGACTGCTCAGAATTTTCTGATGAACTGTTCATTTCCCTGGTAGCTCAGCTGGTAAAGAATCTGCCTGCAATGCAGGATACCTGAGTTCGATCCCTGGGCTGGGAAGATCCCTTGGAGAAGGGAATGGCTACCCACTTCAGTATTCTGGCCTGGAGAATTCCATGGACCGTATAGTCCATGGGATCACCAAGAGTCACACCACTGAATGACTTTCACTTTCCTTCATCTTTCACTCTTATCTCTCTGTCTGGGTGGAGATACCAGATGTGAGATCTTTGGAGGAGGACTGTATAACCGTTTGAAACTTTGGCCCAATTTATAGTTTACAGTGAATGCTGTTTTGTTTCTTAGAGGCTGATATTTTAATCCTTCTACTATTTGGTTTGGTAAGCTGCAAGAACTTGAAACAAAATGGCAAAAAATTCCCAGTTCAGCTTAGAATATTCACGGAACCTCTGCAGTTTCTTTGTTGTCTTCGTTCATTGTCGTATATGCTTTGGTGTGATCATTTTCCTTACTGAATAGCAGTGCTAGAGTCCGATAACTGTTGGATTCTTTAATCCTCAGATATGTACTGTTTTACTTATCTTTTCAAGGGTCCTAAGCCAGACCGAACTTCAGAAGGGCAAGCATTGAGTGAAGCCAGGAAGCACTTAAAGGAAGAGACACAACTACGACTGGTAAACTTTGCTTTTGTCCTCATGGTCCAGCAACATGTTAAAACACCCCGTTTATGGGTTTCATCTCAGATCAAGGGAATATCAGTAGTAGTCTAACAAATTTTATGGATCCTGTGAATTTCTTTCTCATTCTTTCAACCCATATTCCCTACAGTGTTTCCTCAGTCCTTTTTCTGAGTATTCTCAACAGCCAATGGAATTTTGCCAATCTTCATTTTTAATTTATTTTTGCTTTTATAGTTTGTGTTGCAAAAACGCTAGATATACTTTTTAAACCACATGATCGTGCTCGCTTCGGCAGCACATATACTAAAATTGGAATGATACAGAGAAGATTAGCATGGCCCCTGTGCAAGGATGACACGCAAGTTCGTGAAGCGTTCCATATAAAAAAATAAATAAATAAATAAACCACATGATCTCTCTCACTACCTCAGTCCTCAGCCCTGCAAAGACATGTCTCCTTGGATAGGTCAGCTCCTCTTCTCCTTACTGAGAGTCATCAACGTAGACTTATCCTCTTTTACTTTTAGTTGTTGTTTTCTGAATTTATTCTTGCTTTTCTATTTTCTATTCTAAATAAGTAGAAAAATTTGACATCAGTATTAGTCTTAAGATATTCATAGAAATTTATATATATACATATATAAGAATATATAATAAGGACTTAAATACTTCTGCAATAGATTTTATCAAATTATTATTATAATAATAAACCTGTGTCTTCCCAGGTGGCTCAGTGGTAAAGAATCCTCCTACCAATGCAGATTTGAGTTCGATCCCTGGGTTGGGAAGATCCCCTGGAGAAGGAAATGGCAACCCAGTCCAGTATTCTTGCTAATGTTATTTTAGCATCCTTGAAATAATTATCATTTTCCTTCTATGTGTTTGTAGATTCAGTCTCAAAATACTTTCCATAAGGAAGGTCCTAGAAATAATGTATGTCAGTGTTCTAAGAAACAGTTTGAGTTGCCTTCTGTCATGCTTACCATGTACGGAGAGTGCCTCAGTTAGTGAGCAAATGAAAAAAATCATACAAAAAGTTTTCCACATTCCCATACCACATTATGATAAATGCTTGTTAACAGAGAAAGAAACCAAGCAAGTAGGCAAGGTTCTAGATGTGCCCTGGGCACAGCGTGGATGCAGAAGAACCTCAGGACTTTGTATCTGTGATCATCCAAATAACACTGCAGTAATAATGGTTGAAACAAAAGCAGGCCTCATGTTAAGTGAATATAAAAGTTCAGTTAGCCACTATATTTATTTATTTTAATAATAATAATCAAGGTTTATTTGACTTTGTTGTATGATGAGAACTTCATATAAACATGCATGCATCTTTTTCATCTAACATTTTTAAAATTTCAAAATGATAGAAGTAAATGAGCACAAATTTATTGCATCACTTGCTTTTTTTTTTATTGCATCACTTGCTTTTTTTTTTTTTATTGCATCACTTTCCTTTTAGGACACCGAAATAGTTCCCACTTACCTAAGGGTCAAGTCCAAATTGCTGTTTATACTTTTAGGGACCTGTGTATCACCTTCATTTTCATTCTAATAGTCATTGAACGTTGAATTCATTTCTCTTAGTTTCATGAAGTCTTCTCTTTTTATTCATCCAGCCGTACTGACCTCCTTTCTCAATTAGAGCATATATACAAAAAGCAGTGTATCAGTGATTTGATACAGAGCTCTGTGTTCAGCCTATTTTTATGTTTGAGTTAGCTGCTATATTAAAAATAGATAACCAACAAGGACCTACTGTAAAACACAGGAAATGCTGCTTAATCTGTAAAACTGGAAAAAGAATTTGAAAAAGAACAGATCCATGTACATGTATAACTGAGTCCCTTTGCTATACACCTGAAACTGACACATTTGTTAATCAACTATGCTCTGATATAAAATGAAATAAAAAAACTCAGCCATACTGACAGTTCCCAGTAACGGAGATGTTACCTTGAGGACCCAAAGTATCTTTTTGGTTGCTTGGGATCTTGAAAATGTCAACAACCTCCTAACTAAAGAGAATTCCAGATGCTTAATTTTGTGCTGGCTACTGTAATACTTCGTATAACAGGACATGACACAGTAGTTTGTTTTAATATCTAATGATGTGCCTCAAGTATGTGTGTGTTTTAGGCATATTAGATAGCTCTACCTTTGGCCTATCATGTTTTTCAGATTTGTAAATTATTCAGTAAATATTACTATAATTATCTTAGTTTTTATTATTCTTAGTGTTAATGTCTCTGTATTGAATGATGGTTTACATCTATTTTGCCAGACTTTAGACCTGAGAGTTTTGGCCTGCCTTTTCTCGCGGAATTTTGTAGTTTGTACATAGTTGAGGAAAGAGAAAATAAGTAATTTGTTTCCTTCTGGGGGCAGGATGTTGAAAAAGAACTGGAGATCCAGATCAGCATGAGACAGGAGATGGAACTGGCTATGAAGATGCTGGAGAAGGACGTCTGTGAGAAGCAGGACGCCCTGGTGTGTCTGCGCCAGCAGCTGGACGACCTCAGGGCTCTGAAGCATGAACTCGCCTTCAAGCTGCAGGTACGAGAGGCACAAGGAATGGGCTCACTGGCTCCCTAAAATCCCGGGGCTTCCCTCTGTCCCTCTTCTTCTCTAGATTCACACTTTAAATACAAGAGGAAAGAGTGGTGTCCCTTTGAGGCTGAAAAGTGAAAGTGTTAGTCACTCAGTCGTGTCTGACTATTTGTGACCCCGTGGACTGTAGCCCGCCAGGCTCCTCTGTCCATGGGATTCTCCAGGCAAGAATACTGGAGTGGGTAGCCATTTCCTTCTCCAGGGGATCTTCCCCACCCAGGGACTGAACCTGGGTCTCCTGCATTACAGGCAGGTGCTTTACCGTCTAAGCCGCCAGGGAAGCCCTAGCTGCCGATGAACCACTTTAGGAATCAGACCATCATAGGATCCTGTATGCATATTCTAGAAAGCCACAGCTGCTTTTCACATTGTCACATCGACTCTCAAGTCTGATCTGTCAACTGAGTTACATAGATAAATTGATGTACTTTCTGATGTTGATTTTTGAGACAAAACTGCAGATAACAACACTAATATTAAATGTTGCTTTCTGCTTTTCTCTGTTTGGGAATTAACTGATAGACAGATATTAATATATAAGCATTTCTATATCTTTACTTCCCATTTATCATTCGGTTCAAAAGGCACGTGTGACTTGTTTCAGGATTTTACTGTAAACATCCTCATGTAAACATCACTCATAATTCTTTTCTGTAATAGAGTTCAGACTTGGGAGTAAAACAGAAAAGTGAACTGAACAGTCGCTTAGAAGAGAAGACGAATCAGATGGCTGCTACCATTAAACAACTGGAACAAAGGTAAAATTGCTGTTTCTCTAGTGAAACACTTAGGGCAGCTGGTCCTCTAAGTGAAGAGAATGGGCTGTGGATTTGACAGAGAGTATGTGGAAATCGCCCAGCTTAACACCAGGCATGTTAGTAGAAAGAAAGCCAATTAAATGTTGTTTTTTAAGACGTGACTAAAACCCATTTCAGTGTCATGTGTTAGAGGAGGGATATGTACAAGGATGAAAGGACTTTTGAATCTGCATGTGATTCTGTTACTGTTTATTGCGGAAGTCTTTGAAGACTTCAGTGCTAGGTGATGGAGGGGTACTGTGAACCTCCCTCCCTCATTTTTCATCTCCCTATTCTCTCTTCTTTCTCCTCAACAGTTCTGTAGCTTCCGCTGCCACCTCCTGCCCACAATGCTTAGATCTGTCGGTCTCCAGCTCTGTCTTCCTTCTGTATTTTCATCCCCTGACCAGCTATTTCCTATTTCCCACCAGCACCTACAACTTAGTCTGCCCAATGTACATCTTCCTTTGCTATTCTTTTGTCTTTCTATCTGAAATCACCACATTCTTGCTAGTGACTCAGCTGCCAGGAGAAATGGCTGAGGCTTCAAGATTAAATGAGCCACAGTACCCATGGTCATGAAAACTTTGCTACCTGTAACCCCCACTGATCACCCTTCTTGCACTTGAGCAAAACTACACCACTAACTGGCCCCTGGATACACCTCCCATTTTCCCCATCCATGTCTTTCCTGATTGTTGTTGTTGTTCAGTCATTAAGTTGTCTCCACCTCTTTGCAACCCCGTGGACTGCAACACACCAGGCTTCCCTGTCCTTCACTGTCTCCCAGAGTTTGCCCAAACTCATGTCCTTTGAGTCGGTGATGCCATCCAACCATCTCACCCTCTGTCGTCCCCTTCTCCTCCTGCCCTCAATCTTTCCCAGCATCAGGGCCTTTTCCAATGAGTTGGCTCTTCGCATCAGGTGGCCAAAGTATTGGAACTTCAGCTTCAGCATCAGTCCTTTCAGTGAATATTCAGGGTTGATTTCCTTTAGAATTGACTGTCTTTTCTAATAGTTTCATCAAATAGAAATGTCCTTCCTCTTTTCACTCCCTTGTTCTTCAGATGCATTTTTTATGTTCAGGCTAAAATGCCACTTACCCAAAGCTTCCTCTGATACTTCCCAGCTAAAAATAAACTGCCAGTTGGTCCTTGTTGGAATTCCTATAGCCTTATATCTATACCTAGCCGTACTGCTCATAGCACTTCTCACTTTCTGTCTTACCTTAAACCCTTATATATGTATCTTATCTTCTGACGAGAATGTGAGTTCCTTGAAGCTAGTTAACTGTACCCTTTAGGTTCCCTTGTTGGGTCCATCACAGTGCCAAGTGTCCAGAGCATTCATTGAGCAGATGTGTGGATGAATGGGTGAATGGATGACTTCTTTTATTCAAGTGGTTCTTGACCAGGGTAGGTCCTGAGCAGCACTGCATATTATTGTTGACTCAGAAGTTAATTGTAAATTAATAAATAAGCTTGAAACCTCTGGCTTGGCTGATTGTAAATGAAAAAGTTATCAGTCTATCTCAAAAGTTGTCTACGTACTTACTCATAAAAGTTGTATGTTTATGATTTAACAAACCAATATTAGTGTTCGTAAATTGTTTTTGAAATGTGTCAGATTGTTTTTCAGTAGATTTTTGGTTTGGTATTTAAAGCAGACAGAACTGAAATAATGACTTATCTCTTCAGGTATTAAGCTGACTTATTCTCTTGCTATTTTTGTCTTTCCTATTTATTCATTTTCTCATTCCCCTTTCACTCCATTTTTATTTCTATTTGTATTAACATAGTGAAAAGGATTTGGTGAAACAGGCAAAGACCTTAAATAGTGCAGCAAATAAACTGATTCCAAAACATCATTAGGCATTTTACAGCTGGTCACCTCACAAGTTGGATATCACGACTTAATTGTAAAAGGAAGAAATCTGAAAGCTATTGCATTTACGCTCTGATTCTATATAAAATGTCACCAAAAATTGACTTTGAATTTGCTGGACTTTAAAAAAAAACAGTTTGATATATAGGCTGTGTTTTTTCCTTCTTCTTTATTTTCTCCCCAGAGGTAGCAAATTTAGTATAAGTTCTTAATTAAATACCAAATAAACTTTGAGAAATTACTTCTGAGTTGACCAATATATAAACACCCCATTAAAAAAAAAAATCTAGGGAATGGAAGCTCTGTACATACATGATTGATGCCTTTACAACCCAGTCCCCAATAATACCAGTTTCTAGGTACAATGTTTGTGTCAGTGAGCCTGTTCTGCCCGATGTAATGAACTAGAGGTGACGACCACACGGTTTTGGACTCTCTTAAAGTAGTTCTGTGTCTCGTAGGCCATGACCCCTTTTCACTTTGGTTACCTAGATTTAATCCCCAAGCCAAGGATAAGTACTTAGTATTTCACTACAGTCCTCTTCTCCATAACCAACATTGCTTGCAACCTTTTTTGCCTTAGTGACTTCAGGGGGTAAAAAACAGCATCCTTCCGTTTCTTTAAAGTCATAGAGATAAATTTAGTGATTAGGTAACTTACGATAACATAATAATGTGGAAGCTTGGGAAAACCCTCCTAATATTTGTCATCTTCTACCTCTGCCATTTTCCTGCAATTCCACTTCCTATTTAAGTAGCTCAGAGAAAACAGTTTTAATACAGATACTCCTCTCCTATATAAAAAAATATGCTACACATTTTTCAGATCTTTTCTGCTTTTCCTTTTGAAGTAAAGATGACAAGGCATGGACCCGAGTAATGGTTCCCTGCCTCTTGTTTCTTGCTGACAACCTCTACTTAAGAGTTTCTATTACTTTTTGTTCAGAAGGGAATTTGCTTAAGTTTTCAGAAAAATAACAATCATCTATTAGAAAACCATTTCAGAGTAGGAAACAGACAAATTTAAATAAACTTATATTTGTTATTATTTAGTCAAAGATTCCCAGTAGGTATTCATAAACAGTAATTAGCAGGGCTTCTTTTTCTAAGTGACCACAGATCTAATCCTTCCTAGACTTTACATTGTAATAATCCTATAAATACTTTGATTTTTATAATGACTTGATTTGGGGGGGACAGGCATTACATAAGCCTTTATTCCTTCAAAAAAGGCTTGGCAAAATTTTTGTTTTCCTCTTTTTTTCTCATTCTGATGGGATTTGCAGCATTTCAGCTGCTTAAGTGGGGACAAAGATAACCTCTTTGCTTCCAGCTGTTGAAATTCTTTATCACCTTAGAAAAACCAGAATTAAGAGGGTAAGATAGATTTTTATAGGTGTGTTTTTATAGGTCCTTGCAGACTTGAGCCAAAGTCAAGTCAAAGAGCCTATGACCAACCTCATGGAAGCTCCTGTGCTTTTGAACTTAGTTTATTTCTTATAATTTTGCATCTGCTCTTATCTTCATCAACGTTTTATGGTGATGAGTTGCCTTTTCTATGAGTATTTGGAAGGAGTGCTCAAACACCAAAATAAAACATTTTAAAGACTACACATAGCATGCTTCCAAATTCTAGTAGAGAGAGCCCCAGATACTTCACCTTAGAACATACTTTTTATAGGTGCAAAGTTATAGGATATTTGGGAGAAAACATTCATCAGAATCTTCCAGAGAATATGGTCAGGAGTCTTAGGCAGGCCCAGTGTTGAAATGCTTGTCCACTTAGTCACACACTATGTGGCAGATATGGAAAGGCAAAGAGATGGCCAGACTCTGACAAAGGCTTTTCATTATGTTAAAACCCGAAGCCTGGGTAAAGGTTGATGTATAGTGTCCAGTGATTTAATATACTTTGTGGTTAAGGAAAGGGACAAGGAAAATGTTCTAATTCTGTGTCATAAGAAGGTAGTTGCCCATTTGCAAGTTCCAGTTATGAGTGTAAAACAGAAATATAAAGTACCAAACCTATTAGGAAATTAAAAAAAAGTGGATTTAACTTTAATTACTGTGTACTTGAAGTTGGCTTTGGTATGGATTTTCTAAAAAGTGATGTTTTATTGTTTATCATCTAATGGCTGTAAACTGTAGTACTAGAATAAAAAAAAAAAATGGAAAATCAGCTTTTCCTCTGCCTGGTTCACCTTCATCTTGCTTTTTTTGGTTAAAGAATTTGTTCCTCCTCCATCTTTTCTCCCCCCATAATTTCTTCCCATGCCCTGCAGAGTTTATTTTCCTCTCTCTGTATCTCCATGCCTTCTTCCTTGGGTTGTTTTTTTTTTTGTGTTGTGAACTTGGTCTTCCTCCCCGCCATGGCTTTTGTTTTTTATCACACGTTCATATGGCTCACATCCAGATTGCGCCAGGCTGAGCGAGGCCGCCAGTCTGCTGAACTGGACAACCGGCTCTTCAAGCAGGACTTCGGAGACAAGATCAACAGTCTGCAGCTGGAAGTGGAGGCGCTCACCAGGCAGCGGTGAAGAAAGCGCGGCTTTGGTGGCCAGGGCGGTCGTGGGAAGTGCTGATGCTAGACAGCCAGGGGGTAGGGGGCAGTCTCCTGCTCCAGCCGTTTCCATTCTGTCTCTGCCATGTCCTTTCTCCAGAACTAGAATTCAGAAAGCTTCATGTACACCAGCATTCCCCACATCTTGTCAACATCTTTTGCTACCAAAGAAATAGGAAATCAGAACCCAAGATCCCAGATAAATAGGATGGAGTAAGAGAATGTAATGGCCAACACAACATGAATAATAACAGGATTTCCTGAATTCTTACTGTGTGCCGGATACTTTATTAAGCACTGTATATGCATTTTCTCCTAACACCTTCCCTTCAGCCCTGTTTGTGATCTCATCACCCCTACTTTCAGATGAAATGGAAACTTAGAGGGGTTAAATTGTCCATATTCACATAGCTAATGTGTAGCCACATTCTAAAAACCTATTTCTCTGACTCTAAGCTCTTAACCATTCTTCCACGCACGTGCATGCTAAGTCAGCGTATCGTGTGTGGATGCTAAGTCATTTCAGTCGTGTCCAACTCTTTGTGACCCTATGGACCATAGCATGTCAGGTTCCTTTCCCCATGGGATTCTCCAGGCAAGAATACTGGAGTGATTTGCCATACCCTCCTCCAGGGAATCTTTCCACCCCAGGGATCAAACCCATGTCTCTTTACATCTCCTGCATTAGCAGGTGGGTTCTTTACCACTAGCGCCACCTGGGAGGCCCGTTCTTCCATACCGTCTCTCAAATGAGACTCAACTCTATGCCAAAGGCACTGATTTCAAACAGATATAAGTTTGTTGTTGTATATAAAAGCACACAGCTACTAAGGACACTAGTGGTTGAGGGTGTAGCTGGGGACTGACTGCATAATTGTAAAGAGATAGCTAATTAAAATGTAATGGGACTACAGTGTCAGTGCTTTCATACTGTATCTTGAAATTTTAGAGATACTATCTTTCAGTTATAGTGAATCCTACCAGCATTCAATTGCCGACAACTGTTCATTAAGAGTTAGTATTGATGTCAATACTCAGAGTATTGCCCGCAGGCACTGGGAGATCCTAAAGTGCATTCTTAATCATCCCAGGAAGCTTAAATACGTTGAATGTATTCTAGTACTACTGGTTTTATTGTATTGTATTTTAGCACTTTAAAACCTGGTTGTCCATATATATCTGGTATACAGGTGGTGCTAGTGGTAAAGAACCCACCTGCCAACGCAGGAGACGTAAAGAGACGCCGGTTCAATCCCCTCGATTGGGAAGATCCCCTGGAGGAGGGCATGGCAACCCACTCCAGTATTCTCGCCTGGAGAATCCCATGTACAGATGAGCCTGGCAGGCTACGGTCCACAGGGTCGCAAAGAGTTGGACACGACTAAAGCAACTTTGCCCACGTGCACTTTAAAACCTGGTTTTCCATATATACATGGTTGTTTTTATTGCTGTTGTTCAGTTGCTAAGTCGAATCTGACGCTGCCACCCCATGGACTGCAGCATGCCTGGCCTCCCTGTACCTCACCATCTCCTGGGATTTGCCCAAGTTCATGTCCATTGAATCAGTGATGTTATTAATCAAGTATTAAAATTTAATTACTGAGTTCTAAGAAAAAGGTTTGGGATTCTGTAGAAAACAGAACAGAAATCCAAATTTTCATCATTTTTTTTCCTCCACCCATCCCAGGAATCATCTTGAGTTAGAACTAAAACAGGAAAGAGAAAGAAGGTTACAAAACAGCAGGAGCATCCCAGGAAAGGGATCCCAGAAGCCAGAACCCAAAATGGTAATGTTTGTTATTCCCTTGTTCCTTCACTTAATTTTTAGAGGTTACCTTGATGGACCAGGCTGTTTTCTCTTATGGAACACGTTTAATTAGTATGGCCTTGAGTACACAGGTGGTGGGCAGGCGCTGGGGTAAACACATGGAGGCTTGATTCTAAGTCTGCTTCTAGGACACTCTAACTTGAATTCATTTGGAAAAGGACTTTGATTGATAACCATAATTTCCAGTGACCATCTTTTCGTTGTTGTTCGGTCACTAAGTCATGTCTGACGCTTTGTGATCACAAGGACTGCAGCAACACCCGGCTTCCCTGACCTTTACTTCTCTGTCCTTCAGTGACCATCTTAATCCTTTCAATTTGTTAAGATTATTTTAGTATCTCATTTTTTAATAATGTGGTATAGCCATCCCTCCCCAATCCTGAATTCCCCTTTAACAAAATTGTCTTAAATGTTGATTTGCTTCTGTACAACTTTTTCCAAGTCATGAAGATTTCAAGTTTAGCATACTCAAGGTGCTTCTCTTGGGAAAATTAGAAAAAGAGGGAACTAGGCTTGGGAAATGGGAAATAACACAGAGTGGCTTAAAGAGCAGGAGTAGAAGCTTCTAGAGAACAGTGTTAGGAAAGAGACTTCTAGCACCTATAGTGGTGAGAGAGCCAAAATTGGATCATCCCTGGGACCCAGCAAACAGGGTTTTCTCCTAAGAAGTAACTGATACCTTGAGCCCATTGTGTAAGTAAATAGGATATATTCTGAATTTGATTTCGATCTCAAGAATTAAAGAAAATATTTACTCTGAAAATAATCATTTGTTGCAAGTCCTATCCAAATAATTTGTTAAGAAACGACTCGGAACAAAGAATAAAGGCAAATATCTTGAAAGTTAAATTCCTCCCCTAACCTTAAAAAAAAAAAGGCTGCTTAGCTTTGTACCAAGCTAGGACAATACAGAAGAAAATGTCTGCCTGGTTAAACTTGTTTAATAGTCTGAACAATTAATAAACTGGGCTGTTTTCTTTTGGCAGGATGGGAAGCACAAAATTCAAGAGGAAAATGTTAAACTAAACAAGCCCTTGGAAGAAAGCCACAGGTGTTTATTAATAAAGTACTAAGATATAAAGCTCTTTTGGGGTGGTAGGACAGAGGGAGCTTTTGTTATACCTTGGCAGTGATTCAGATCAGACACTGACTTGTAATATTAATATTCCAGAAAGACATTTTAAAGGGAGAGTGAATAAGGAATAAACCAGATAACACATATTGAACCAAACCCATTTAGTCAGTTTCAGAAGAAAGAAAGGTGATCAGGCTGTCTTCTGATTCTTTCCTGGTTAATCCCCAAACTATCACTTCAAAGATTAGCTCTAATCTGATCTCTACTGGATCAGCAGAACAAGTGAATGAAGGACAAACCATAGCATTTCCTGGGTTCTTAATGTACTTGAGCATGACCTGCTTCCACCTGTGTGCTAAATGAATGGCAGCTATGTTTCAAATAAATTCCCTAATTTCCCTTATATTTTTCTCTTAAAGAGAAACACAGTTTAATTTTATTTTTCTTAACTCTTCATCTCATTTGCTCACTGAGGAACATGGGATCACTTCCAGGAAGTTGACTTTTAACAAGTTACTTTAACAACAAAATGTTACACAGTGCCACTATATTAAAAAATGAAGGAGGTCCAACTATATGACCTTCTGGAAAAGGCAAAACCATGGAGATAGTGATTGCTAGGGATTGGGGGATATGGATAGATGAATTGGTAGAGCACAAAGGATTTTATAGGTCAGTGAAAATACTCTATGACACTGCAATGATGGATACATATCATTATACATTTGTCCAAACCCATAGAATGTACACCACCAAGGGAGAACCCTAGGGTAAACTATGACTCACAGAGTGTCAGTTTAGGTTCAGTAACTGTTAGCGTCGGGTACCATTCTGGTGTGGAATGTTGATATTGGGGGAGGGTGGGAGGTCCAACAGAATATGTAACAAATCGGTGTCCTTTCTGCTCAGCTCTGCTGTGAACCTAACACTGCACTAAAAATTAAAGTCAATTATAATGACAACAATAACAAAAGATTATTATCAAGGAAAGATAACACAGAGGAGTTTTGAGACCTATACAATATACATTTTTGGCAGCTGAATCTGTCCAATCTTTGAAGCCTTAAGAATGAGATAATATGTCATCTGGAGCAAAACTAGCTGCTGGAGAAGATGAAGCACACAATCCAACAGTAGGGTGATTTTGCAGGTGCTTAGCCTAGACAGCCCTTCCTTGCCTCCAAGGCCAGAGTGATCCCAATACCTTTAAGTTTTACTCCCAAGAGAACATGGTCTGATCCAAGACCAGCCTTAAACTCCAGTCCATCTAACATTACAGATCAGGATGGGCTGTGGGAAGGAACTGGACATAAAATTAACCAAGGCTTAAAAGGGCCTTTCAGAGTCAGCTCATGCCAGACAAAAATCACGTCATTTACTTTCAGGAGTGTCTTACATGCCAGGTTCTGATTTTAGGCCCTAGAAATAAGAGACGATACAATGACTATCTCTTGGTATCCAGGGTTCCAGGAGCCCCTTCAGATATCAAAACCCATGGATGCTCAAGTCTCTTAGATAAAATGGCCTGGTACAATGAACTTAATGGGCTGTACCTGTGGGTTGCGCCTCTGGGATTTAATTAACCACCGATGTGGAACGTGAAAACCAGGAGGCATGAGTGTACTACCTTATGTATATATTATACTCTGGAGCTTAAAAAATGTATCACATTCATTGTCTCCTTACTAATTTACTTCTCCTTAAAAAAGCTTAATCATCTACTACTACTTTACAGGTGAGAAAAATGAGGCACACAGAGACCCAAGTTGCCTCTCTCTATCATGTCTTCCTTTGTCTCTGCACTAAATAATAGCTGCTCCCAAGGCCTCGCCTGGTGAGAACTGCCATCCCAAGACATACCCAAGTTTCCTTGGATTGTGGTCCAAGGAACAGCTGTCAAGCTGGTCATATTGATGGTCACACTGCCATGCAACTGAAGAGAACTGGAATCATTATAAATCTGTGGTCCATTTTCCCCAGGATTGAATGTGGGCTTTGCTTCTCTTGTATAAGTTCTGTTCCAAGTTGGGAAAACTGGGGTTAGCTCAGCTGGTATCATAAAGAAATATTTCAATCTAAATGGATAACTTGGGAGAAAGGACTAATACATGACATATGATAATTGTCAGGTTTCCATAATACTGGATAGGCAAAAAAGCTATTAAAATGCATGGCCTCAGCCACTGGGGCTTTGTAGGTTGGGAAACACGAAGACTATTTTCTTGATAGTAGGAAGGAAACAAAATATAACTCTAGTCTATTTTTAAGCAGGAACCTAGACTAATATAGGATTGTATCCTAGTAATAGATTTAACAACCAAAATTTCCTCTCCTAGGAGGTCAATATTAATAATTACTTTGGTCCCAACAACATAAAAAAACCATGGTATTGCTTTCTCCATACTTTTAAAATGATAAAAGAAATATAAGCCACTGTTAGTTACTGTTTTTACTTTCCTGTTATAGGCTGCAGTCTCACCCGATGGATCAACAGGTAACTGAGTCTCCTGTCCTAAAACGTCCTGTAAAAAAACGTCGGCTGGGCCCTGCCTAGTTGTAAACAGGGCAGCAAGGGAGGTCGGTGAACGCATACAAGTCTCTGCGCCCCATCCTTTTAATATCCTAAACGTGCATTTCCCCGACACTGTCACAGCAGGTAGCACCGTTCTGAGCAATGTACTAAGTAAAGCAGCAATGCTTACTCCCTGTTTGAGATTCTCTTTGACTTACTGTGAGACCTCAGAGAGCTCAGCAGACCTCCCTTGCCCTTAGCTTTCCCTTAAATAAAAGGAAGAGAAAAAATACCTCTTGATCCCTTGGAAATAAGCAAACATCAACAGTTAGGAAATACATTACAAAATATAATGGTAACTCCATGAGCAAGATGATAAATGCTACCATGTCCAAGTTACCACAGTCTTTTATTTACCAGGTATACTGAAGCCTACTCCCTTCCATTCCTCATGACAGAATCAGACAAGAGGGATGGAGCTTTTTACATTTATATACATTAAAATTGCATGTTACTTTATTATAAAAATCAAGAAGGTCAACAAGGATAATATGACTATCAGAGTTGTATTAAGGTGGTAAGACTATATATGTACACATATATACATATATGTAACTTGTTTTTCTAGTTTCCAACAGTCTGCAGTGTGATTATATTTAATTTTGTAACTAAAAATGCATATTCTGAAAATAGTGATATTTCTGGGGCTAAGGGAGACTAACTGGTTCACTGTGTGGTTTAGGATCAGCCGTTGTCCTCTGAAAAGCCACCGAAGTACTGTCAGCTATGCCAGGAAGACTGCAGCCTGACAAAGGTAACGGTGACGAGGTTCTTCGTAGGGATGCCCACTGCATGACTAGCTGCTTCTGGTGACAGGGGCTTCGCCATGTAGAGTGCAGAGTGGCGGGGGGAAGCAAAAGGAACAGCAGTGAGTGTGTACCTATTATTTTCAGTCCTATTAAGTCATGTCAGTAAATCCCCCTTAGAACATTAAATACAAAATTTACTACGTAATTTAAAATAAACGTATAAATGTGTTCGTTACAAAAGGACAATGAACAAAGTGAACGTGAAGTCCTGGTCTCCTTAAGCTCATGTCCTTTGGGCCATCATTTTATGAAGAGCCTTGGGCTCAGAGGTGTCACATGCATCTGCCAGTTACTGAACGCTCAAATGCAGCCTGTCTTTGGCAGCAAAGTCTACACTCCTTTCAGTACTCCATCCTGTTCAGAGCAGAGAAGACAGGTTAGGGAAGGGGATTCTTTGAACTAGTTGGGGAAACAGCCTCTGAAAGGAAAACAAGCTCTCTCTCCACCAAACCACTTGTTTTCCCTTTCGGTCCTCAAGAGTCTCTGTCTGAGCAGCTTTCCAGCTTGTCATGCTAGAGTCAGCAAGGTGAAGGAAGCATGCAAAGAAGAGTAAGCATCTTTGACGGCCACATCTGTGCCTTGCTCACAGTGGGATCCCCCAGCATCTAATATGTGCCCAGTTCATAGCAGATGCTCAAGAAACATTACCCACAAATGAGTGTCAGGAACAAGTGCATAGCAGAGATGGGAACGTGCCCAAATTCTATGTTACAACCTATGTGCCAGCCTTTGTGATCATGCTAAAATTTTAACAAGAAAAATTATAGTATGACCTAGTCTTAAATTAGCAGAAACAGATAAAGATGAACTGCCTTTCTAGAATTGGAAGTTGTAGAGAAGTGTGTTCCCAAACAGAAGAGGCTGCTCATCTAATTCTGGCTTTTCTTGTCTAAGCCATGCAAAATAACTGCAATATGTCAGAGGAAACATTCCTCCCAGGCTTTCAAATAAAATTGATTCCCCTCTACCTCCACTGCACCCTCAGAAAGATGAATTGTTTAGGGGGAAAGGAGCATTATTTATGGGGAAAATTATTCTCCACAGCCTTTATATAGGGAACCTTGGAGCTGTGTGTGCAGTCCTGTCACTGCTTGTAACACTGCCATAATGACCCACATACATAATGACCCAAATGTCCCACAGTCTGGCTACTAAAGACTCCAAATGCTTAGTTGCTCCGTCGCCTCTGACTCTGCAGCCCTTTGGACTGTAGCCCACCAGGCTCCTCTGTCCAGGGAATTTTACGAAAGTGGGTTGCCATTTTCCTCCGCTATTGGATATTTCCAACCCAGGGGTTGAACCCACATCCCTTGTGTCTCTTGCGCTGCAAGCAGATTCTTTACCCCCTGAGCCATCAGGGAAGCTCCTGCTTAATAGATTAATTTCCCAGTTAAAAAGGGTGCAGGCAGCTGTGCTGTGCTGCTCTAATATCCCAAAAGATGTGCGTGCTGAGCATCACAGGAAAACATGAAGCGCATCATGTATTAGAAATTATGCTTCTAGTTCATGCTCAGCAAAGTTTCCAAGTGTTTGGCTGGTTACCAAACCCACGGCTAGGTCATTGCCTGCCTTATTTGGAGTATGCTTAGGTAACTGCAAACTAATTTTAGAACTAGCCCACCTAAAAGTGAATATAAATGAAGTATATACTCTGAAGATAAATAATTTGTGTATTATCTGTTCATGAGAACTCTGTGGAAATGCTTCTCTTCATTTAGATCTAAGAACTAGACTGTACACTTTTTTGTAGAAGGTGTTTGGTCAGATACTGTGCAGCATACAGCACATATTCAGCCAGTATTTCATTGGATGTTGAGCATCCGTCATACCTGGCCGCCTCCATCCAATGCATCCAATGCCCTGCTCTTCTGTTACCCACCTGATCTCACTTTCTCCTTGTAGAATGTATGTAGGAATTGCAGAGGAACCTTCTGTAACATCTGCTCAACAAACGAACTGCCTCTTCCTTCAAGTATCAAGCCTGAGCGAGTTTGCAATCCCTGCCATGAGCATCTGATGAAACAATATTCCACCAGTCCATCCTAAGATGGAGGCCAAGATCTGGACCAGAATGTATCCACCCACGTTAGATGTCAGAATCCCCTAGAGCCGACTTTAGAATCAACTTGAGTTGATAGGAATGCTTTAAATAAACCAGGTCCAGGAAGAAAAGACAGTGGTTGGCAGTGCTGGAAGTTTTGCGTGTTTTCTCTAATGACTGTATGAATAAAAGTTACTCAGTTGAGCCTCTCTCTGCTAAATCTAAACAACCCCACTTTGAAGCATTGATCTTATAGCTTGTCTTTGGAAGGGCTATTCATTTTTATGAATAGTGATAGTAATACTGAGCTGCATGTTAAAGGAGAGAGGGTCCTTAGTGAATAAGAATAAAAAGGAAAACGGTCATCCCTTTATTGTATTTGGAGATTCAAGAGGGAAAGGTCATTGTTAACCGAGATTGAAATGATAGAGGTTACATGTTCTCTCAGGTGCTGCTAGACATAAACATTATTTCCTCTTTACCCCCACAACCTACCTCTTCTTTAAAGGATCTCTACCAAACTGTGAACAAACTCAGGGAAAAGAAATTAAAGAGTAATATAAATCTTGAATGTACTTAAAACAATATTATAATGTATTCTAGTTTTAGGACCAGAATTTTGTAGTTCTGGCCTACACATTTTCACTATCAGAATAAGGAGGAAGAATGTTTGCTGTTTTTCCACTTAGTGACTTCAAAAGTAAATACCTGCCCTTTTCAGAATCTGCTGCGCAACAAGCCAGCTCTTCCCCAGTCTCCCTCCTCTCTGGGTCACGGAAATTATAAGGGGTTTTTAAAGATAGGGTTTGACTTTTGCAAACAGGAAGTACTAAAGCAAAGCCATGTCAGGTGTAGAGTGAAAAAACTTAATTTGTGCATGGCTGAGAATAATTAGCTGAGAATACTTGTTAAATTCTTTTGTGAATAATGGATTCCTTACTCCAAGCCAAGATTCAGAACTGGTAGACAGGTTTTTTGGAAAGTATGATAGTCAAAACAGTTCTTAGTAACAAACCCTTTGGGGGAAAAAAAGACATGCATTCAGCAGGGGAAGGCAGGAAATGGTCTGCGCTCCTTTGATTATGTTGCATGTACATAGATTGTTTGATTCCAATGAAGACCTAAGAAGATAAGATTCTGTTAACTGGTTTAGAGTTATGGGGTGGGAACATCCTGGAACTATGATATTTGATAAATTCTGTCTCCTGAAAAGAGTGACAGCTCAGGAAAGTTGTTATTCCAGAAGTCTGACCTGTTCTTTGGTGGAGCTGAGTTTTAAGAGCCCTAGGAAAAAATAAAATTAGTAATTCCAATGTCGTTTGTTGTCATTTTTTCTCTTTAAATAATATTTATTGCTTGTGATTCTCCATCTTCCTTATTTTTGACTACATATATGTGTCAGCACTATTCTAGGTTCTACAGAAAATGGGGGGGGATTATCCTAAATTAGCAAAAGTTATTTTATAATTAGTTTTGAACTAAATTGAAGAGGCCACTCTGTACATGGAATGTAAGGAGGAATAAATAGTCACTTGAGATTTGTTTTTTAAATGCATATAAGCTGTTTATAGTGTTTCAGTTATTTTTTTTTTTAAACCAAAGCTCCAGAGATTTGTTATTAGTGCATATGCTCACAAAGCAAGGGGACCAAGTCATGAATACCTTAACTTAATAATAGGCCTTTCTTCCTTAAAAATTGTGGGTTCCACTGTTTACAATAGTATCACCAAGAATAACATACTTAGGAATACACTTAACCACAGAAGCAAACCACTTGTACACTGAAAACCAAAGCACTGCCAAAAGAAACAAGATACCAGTACACGGAAAGACACCTCATGGTCACGAACTGGAAAACTTACATTATTGACCAGAGACGTATTAATACATCTTTTGTTACCCAAATGTTAATTGACCAGATACATATAAATACATTTTTAAAGAATGATACAATTCATATCACTGCAGAGTTTTTAGAATGTAAACTTGATCAAGGGTTCATTATACAGCTTAAGACTGTCATTATCATTCACATTTTACTGTTTGGTTTTTGTTCCAACCTTGTGTATATTATAAACATAAGTTTATTAGCATAAAACTTTTTAAAAAAATGACATATCGTGAAGTTTTGAGTTAAGAATTTTTCTGTGGTTTTATGCAGATACTTTGATTGTCCAAGAGACATATATACTAGTGTCTCAGAAGATGGTATTTCTTCAGAATATAGTTGATTCAGATGATGTGAATGTCACACACACACAAAAAGCTTTAATAACTGATTCTAATACAGAAAGTGAAAATGAGACTCAATGCTGGAGACGACTTTACAGGTATGTCAGGTGTAACTATTGAATGTACTAACCCACAAAGTGTTATAAAATAACACAATTGTGGGCCAGCCAAAATAAAAATCGCTGACCACAGGCTTTAGTTTCTGCAAAATTCCCTCAGTCAATAATGAGTTTGTATCTTTAAAATGTCAGTACTACCTCAATCTACAGATTCAGTGTAACCCCTATCAAAAATCCCAATATCTTTTGCAGAAATAGAATCATTTATATGGAACCTCAAGAGGTGCCTAAACAGCCAAAACAATCTTGAAAAAAAGTTCAGTGTCACACTTCCTGATTTCAAAACTCAGAGCCACAGTGCTGAAAGCAGTATGGTAATGGCATACAGACATAATGACCCATCAGAGTAGAGAGCATAGGAATAGACCTTCACATCTGTACTCAAATGATTTCTGAAAAGGGTGCCAAGACTATTCAGTGGGAAAAGGATAGTATTTTCAAAACAGATACTTGGAAAACTAGATGTGCACATTCCAAAAAAACTAAGATGGACTTTTATACCATATACAAAAGTAACTTGAAATGGATCAAAGATCTGAACATACAGCTAAACAAAGAGGGAAAGATTCATGACACTGGGTCTGGCAGTGACTTTTTTGGATAAGACACCAAAAATGCAAGCAATGTAGGAAAATAGGTTAGCTTCATCAAAATAAAAAATCTTGTAAAGAAACGAATCCTTGTGCACTGCTGGTGGCAATGTAAAGTGGTACAGCCACTACAGAAAAGAGAATGGCAGTTCCTAAAGAAATGAAAAGTTCCATGTAATACAGCAGTTCCACCTCTGGATGTATACCCAGAAATGAAAGCAGGGTTATACCCACATTCATAGCAGCATTATTCACAACAGCCAGAAGGTGAAGCCACCCAAGTGTTCATTGATCAGTGAATGGCTAAACAAAATACGGTAGATACATTCAGCCTTAAAAAGCAAGGAAATTCTGACACATATACAACATGGATGAACCCTGACGTGAGATAAGCCAGTCACAAAAGGACAAATAGGAGCCCACCTATGTGAGATATCTAGTTAAATTCACAAAGAGTAGAAAGACAAAGTGAAACAGGTTGCCGAGGACTTGGAGAAGTGAGAAATGGGTAGAATCTCAACTGGGGAGGTGGGGGTAATGAAAAAGTTCTGGTGATGGATGGTGGTGGTGCTGTTTGTACAATATGAATGTACTTAATGCCACAGAAATGTATACTTAAAAATGATTAAAATGGTAAAATGTGTTTGTACATTTTACAACTTTTAAAATACCATGCTTTCCAGTTGGACACAGAAAATAGATATGTACGTGTATATGGGTGGGTCCACAAACATATATCCCCATCTGCTGAGAGGGTCTGGATGCTGACATGTAGCACATCCAATGCCCAGTCTTTCATCAGAAACCAAAGCTTGGTTTATAATACCATTCTTCAATAAAAGGAACCAGGATTAATTGGAGAAATGGCTGATTCTAGGTCTGAGGCATCTTGCAACACCAAAAAGTAAGGAAGTGCTATTGAAAAAAAAAAGGAGGAAGGCATAGCAAAGGTATACAGGAGAAAACTAGAAGCTTCCAGTGGGTAAAGCTGAAAAAAAATGCGAGCAAAATAATGTAGGAGTATTACCCAGAGAATAAATGAGTCCATATTAATATGAGATTAAATAAATGGCAGAGAAGTATCATATCTCCTACAAAGAAAAATTCCAAATAATTTATGTAGCTACTATTCCTTCAAGAAGTAGAGCTTACCTCCCCACCTTCTGAATATGGGCTGTGCTTAGTAACTTGCTTCAAAAAAGTAGAATACAGAAAGAGAAATAAAGGGACTTTAGAGTAACCAAGGAAACAATGTTTTGGGCATGTGATCAAAATTCACATGGTCAGTGGTGTCATGTTGGTAACAAGAATCCTTGATAAGGTGAAAGCAGTGAAAATAATTCCTTTGTATTCTTCCTCCCAAAACCAATAAACCTAGTCTAACCATGAGAAAACCTTAGAAAACTCTGAGGGACATTCAACGAAATATCTGACCAGTACTCTAAAGGTATCAGGTCATCAAAAACAAAGACTGAGGTTAAGGAGACACAAAGACTAACATAAAGTGGGATCTTGGAATGAAAGATACTCGGGAAAAGCTAATAAAATCTGAACAGAGTGTGGGATTCAGTCAATGGTTATATATTAACATTAACCGTGACAAATGTATTTGTAGCAATATAAAATGTAAACAGGGAAATTAGGCGAGTCATATACAGCAATTCTACTGCTTTTGCAACATTTTTGTATATCTCAAACTATTCTGAAATAAAGTTTATTTAAGAATTTGTGCTTTCATACTCCAAGCAACTATAAGTCAGGCCTTACAGAACTTGACTGAACTCCCTAAATGCAGTTTATTTCCAAATAGAATCTTAAATCAGATCTGTAGTTCAGCACATGGCTCTTTCATTGTTTACAGTCAAGTTGTAAAATTGATAATTTGAAAAGATACATGCACCCCAATATTCACTGCAGCACTATTGACAATAGCCAAGACATGGAAGTAACCTAAATGTTCCATTGACAGATGCAAGGGTAAAGAAGATATATATATACACAATGAAAAATTACTCAGCTATAAAAAAGAATGAAATAATGCCATTTTGCAGCTACATGGATGGA